TTTACATAAATTTTGTATCAAGTAGAATATACTTTATTACGCACAAATTATCAACATGAATGTTAGTTTCTTTACTATAGTAGCCATTTTGTGCCTTCAAACTCTATCTACTTGTATCATTTCTAATATTGGACAATATATTTATTCATTTTATCTACAAACATACGCATTTACTTCGAATGATATATTAAATCTCACTAATGATACTTTATTATCGTCTGTCGATGATTTCAACATCAGCAATAAAGATCCAGAACAATGTTCGAATAGTGTATCGAATGAGGCAGATGCTTGGGCACAACAACAATCAGCTGATCTATTTTCCAAAATAGGTTTATGGCGTAGTGGTCCAATGATTATCATGACATGCATGCTCGGTTTGTACATGTCTAGATTAGGCAAACGATTTGTTTTAATTTTATCGATGATCGGCATTGCCATGCAAGTTTTGATTTGGTTAACTATCATTTATTTTCAATTACCAGAATACTGGTGGTATGTGGCTGGTTTTATTGGTGGTTTAACTGGTGGTGAGGCAGTTCTGCGTAAGATGTTTTATCTATTATCTTGATCAACATTCTAAGTTTTTTGTTCTTGTTAGATCTTGTACTTAATCTATTCATTATTGATTGTACAAAGAAAAATGATCGATCGACTCGTTTTGTTCTTCTTGAAGCCATGACGACGACTTTAACAGCTATGACAGATTTTGGAATCGGTTACTATATCGCATGGAATGGTTTTGCCGATCTATTATGGGCTTCATTCATATTACAGTTAATATCGATATTTGTCGTTTTTTTATTCTTCAATTATTCCTCTCCTGCTACTGTTGTTTCTTCACCCAATCAAACGACTTCTCCATTACTATCATTGACAGAAGGAAATAATGATATCAGAACTAAAGAATCATGTTGTTCGACAAGTAGTTGCAGGAAGTTTGCTGATATTTGTACTGTTTTTTGTCGTCGTGGACGATCGAAAATAAAATCAACTAATATCTTGCTCACTCTTTTCGCTTATATCTTTTATTCACTCGCGTACACTGCTATTTTGTCAATCTTTCTATGGTATCAATTGGATGCTCCTTTCTGTTGGTCATCGACACAAATTGGAAACTACGATGCTTTAGCTTCTATTACTTGTGCAATCTTTAGTGTTCTTGGAATGAAATTATTAACGTATGTAGGTGCTAACGATGCATTTATTTGTGCTTTAAGTCACGTCTTCTTCTGTGGATTATCGATTTGGTTTGCTTTTGCACGACAAAGTTGGCAATTGTATGCGAGCTTGTTAATTAGTCCCTTTGTGGACTATCAAAATTCATTAACATGGTCAATGATGTCTAAATGGTTGGAACCAAACGAGTATACTATTGTATTTACATTGATTACAATCATATATACAATTTGTTCGATTCTGGGCAATTCATTTTTCAACTGGATCTATGCGTTAACTGTAGTCGCTCTACCAAAACTAATGTTCCTGCTTGCAGCTGGACTTTGTGTTATTCCATTTATTCTCAATATGTAAGTCATTTATTGTCGATATTACCAAAACTAATGTTCTTCATTTCAGATGTCTTGTAATAATCAATCGAGGATTATCAGATGATAATTCATCTTCAATTAAAACGTCCAATTCACTAACTACGTTTATCAATCTACCACTCGATGACAGCGATCTAATTTGCTTGGATAACTTCACTGACACAGTCGAATCTCAAGACAACTCATCATTATCCAGAAATGATCAGACGACATCCATAGATGACCCGATGATCTTTTGATCTCACTATATTCCGCTTGTCACTGCTCGTTTTCTTTGTTATTTTTTTTATAAAAATTTTTGAACATTATATTTTATTTTGTTAATAAATGGAGTTGACTGGTTAATTTATTGAATAATTATATATTTTTCTTATTATTTTAGAAGCCATTCGAATATATTATTCTAACAAAAACAAACTATTTTATATATAGATGACAGTAATGAAATGCAAGTCAAAACCATCTTGAGGGTGTGGTTGTGGGTCTTGATATTCTATTCTTTCTACACCCATCCTCAAAACTCCAAAAGTAGTCATAAATGCAACTATTGTTTGAATAACTGTCATGAATTTTATTTTAAAAGAAAAATTATTTATAATACTCAAAACAAAAAACATTCAGTGTTAGTAGAACGACTTGCTGACTAATGTGCTTTGTTTAATTGTGGTTTTCGATGATTTTTATAGGCGTATGGAGAAACTCGTTCTTCATAATGAAGATGTGGTCCAGTTGATCGTCCAGTATTTCCACTTTTTCCAACTTCTTGTCCTGCTTGAACCTTTTGTCCAGCAGCGACCGATTTCTTACTCAAATGTGCATAGAGTTGACGAATTTTATCGGGAGATTCAATAACAATATGAGTACCATAGTCAGCACCCCAGTTTGCGTTTAGTACCGTACCACTTGCTGTTGCGCGGACACTTGTTCCAACTGGACATGCATAATCGTCGCCAGTGTGATAGCCAGCTGCCCAACTACCTGCTTTGCCAAATGGAGTAGTGACCGATTTACCTGGAATGGGTAAATGTGCGAAGGCTACTGCACATAATGCAATAAGTGAAACAAAGAATAGTTTACTAAACATTGTGATTTTGTGTTGAGTAAAAATGAAAATGTGCTTAGTATTTATTCTCGCGATAGAAAGCTGATGAGAAAAACTGAGGATTGCAAATTATAAATGCTATTTTAGTCACAAAATTGTCTTCGTTATGATTGAGAATATTAAGCAGGTGTGCATTTTCTTCTATTTTTTAGAAATGTTATATTTTTAACTATCAAAAAAAATCCGATGTATTATGAGAGTGAATGTGCATGTCGGTAAGATAATCATTTTGTATTCACGCCCACATAATCAGAATTAGTTTTAAATAGATTGCATGAACATGTACGTAAATTTTAGAGATGAATATTTAATTAGTTGAAAATTTCAAATAGAAGTTCATTAGACAGCACTTCTAAACATGTCACTCGATTTTTATTTTAATTAAATTTGAAAAAAGTCTAATTAAAATTATCTTTGATAATTTACTTTTTTTTGATGAATAAGTAACTGACGTTTTACATAATCTAAAAATAAAACATGATTGTATGATTAATCGGCAGCTTTACTATCCGTTCTTAGATAAAAAAAAGAAACGATAAATAATTTTTACTTTTCTTTCAAAAAATCAGTTTCTGTCTTGAAAATAGGCATATTCTCTTCATTTCTTACTTATCCATTCATAGTCGCACTCTCTAAATTCGTTTGGTATTGTATGTTAAATAGTTTTATTTATTAAAAAGAAATAACTGAACGTTATTTTCTGATGCAAATAGATTTCGTCATTTTGATATTTAATCATATAGTTTTCTGTTAATCTCTCGAAATCGGTCATTTTCGTCAAATTTCAATTGTTTCATCAACGTTTTTAGAATATAAAGAGGGTGTGGGTGAAAGACAGACTATATACCCACACCCTCACTCTCAAGGTGGTACTTTTATTATTTTTTAATACCCGATGAATCAACATTGTTTCTATTTGAAGAAATATTTAATACAATAACTTGAATAATTTTCAAAGGATGGATAATATTTTCAAAGCAATCACATCAGAGTGTGGGTGTAGTATTTTTTCTCTTACTCACACACACACCCTTAATATTTCGGTAAGGATAAATGTATGTGATTGTAGGTGTAATTATTTAATTCAATTGATATCATAATCAATATATTACACCTTTAGAAAGTATCTAAATTGATAATAACGGTGGAATCGATTCTTTTTGATTTAGTCAATCACACTCGCATGTCGTATCAATAAGTGATTAATAATTATATCCAATTGCTACATAATTTTGTAATAAACTGCTAACAAAGATCATCTATATATGCACACACAGAAAAACGTATATTATTATTGATCTTTTGGAAGGAATTCTAGGATAACTATACTGAGAATATGGATGTAATGAAAGAGTGTGGGTGAAGAGAAGAATATCACTCACACCCTCAAGATGGTGCAAAGTTTGGTGACGTTGGCTACTACAGGAGCCGAATGCATAACAAACAGACAGACAAGCGTGCTACTTTATATATATATATATATATGTAGAAATATCAATAAACAAATTAATTAGTTCAAAAGAATAACAGAATATTTGAATGAATCCTGTTTTCGTACTTTTGTTGGAATTTATTTTATGTGTTAATCATTCGTTAATGCCAAATTTATCAAAATATTTCAAAAATAAATAATTTTATATTCTATTTTTAATTTTGGAAAAACAGAGTTAATTATTAAGAAATAATATATATAAATGTGTCTTATAGGACGACCTGCTTGTCCAATATAATGTGATATATATTGGAGGTAAGACGAATGAAAAAAATATCGTATAGGTAATATATTATTCTGTCATTATGCGATTCGTTTACATTTTATTTTGTAGATAAATAACTGCACAATAAAGAGAAATTTATTATATACGACAAAAATAATCTAACTTCCAACCAAAAAAATATTTTAAAATCGATATTTTAAACAATAAATATAAGATACATTACGATAGTTTTTAAAAATGTCGAATAAAATTGTTCCGTCACTTGTTACATTACCAGTCGAAATTATTTATCGAATTCTTGATC